AAACATATTTCGATTAATGTACATTATAATATTATACTGTTTATCACACTTAATAATTAATATCTAACTATTGTACATTTACATTATATGTAATCATATAATTATGCAGTAATACACTACTATAGTGCTACTGTACCTACCTGTGAGAAGTAATGAGTATAAATGTATAATATACTTCTATACAGTATAGCCTATAGATAATTAATACGTTAGTTATGGCGGGGTCATAGTAATTTCACGGTCGGCGCCGAGGCTATGATAATAGACATTTTCTGCTTAAGTTTTGAAATCTCGAAAGTCGAAATCCATCGATATAGTATTTCAATATTTGAATTATAGTTAGTTGACATTTAATTTTAGACACATTTTGTTTTAACACATATATGTTTTTGGTCTGGGTACAATTTTTTTTTCTAACCGATTTTCGTTACCCTATCTTGATGGCCATAGAAATGCAAATTAACTATGGAAAAAAGAACAAACGAAATTAAATTCCTATAACAGAACGGAGCATGCTACAATATATTTTTCCATTGCACTTTATACACAAAAACGTATCTATAGGATTCCTCGATTTTCGTCGCAGAGGAAAAATATCTATAGTAGCGTGCTACTTATAAAATATACCAACGACATAAACGATGTAAATATAGCTGATATGCAAGAAATGGTTTTTTTTCTATTATTATGACGTTTAAACACATTTTAATATTTTGTAGTTAAATACGGGTATTGAGCTATAATTGTAAACAACACGTTAATGTAGTATCGGCCACCGGATAAATAACGTCAAGTTACACATAACATCGTGTATAATTTACATTTAAATTTATGCACATTATACTATTTATTTTATTCGTTTATGAAAGCAACTATGCACATCTAGTAACCGTGTTAATAATAAACCTTATTTTTATCTGGTGTAATTACGTTAAGGATAAAAACAAGTACCTACGTTGCGCCAGCATCAACAATGGGAAAAAAATTGATTATAATATATTTTATTTGTACAAAAAGCTAATAAAAAAAATTTATTTTATCGATATATCAGTATACGCAATTAGTAAAAAATTAGCAATTTCACAATTTGCACAACACGTGTCATTGGAATTTTAAAAACCAATGGGGCGATACGTAGCCTCAACTTCAAAAAGGGAATTTCAGATTTATATTAATTATTGACTGACATTTTAATTACAGCACTCGTTTATAACGATTTGTTGGAGCTCCTTCTTTCCTTGGATCCCACGATGGTTCTGCTAACTAATGTTGTATTTCACATCTATCATTAGTTATTCGGCTACAGTCTTGCAAATCCACGCTAAATGGCTATGTAAAAATAATAGAAATTCTTTTTTAGTGGCCGGGTCGCTGTGTTGCCGAAACGTTCAGGCCGTTGATTTTTGAGATTTTGGTGACACTGATATGACAAATGTGAAATATTGGCCATGTGATTCATGGTAATATTGCTTGCTTATTATTGGTGAAATAAAAATTTAATATTTTTCACGGGTGGTTCTGGCGCAACACATACTTACACGTGATAAAAAAAACTAGGAAAACATGTAGACAACAAATCATTTTTGCGTAAAACTCGTTACAATTTGCCTGACCTTAAGTAAGAATAAAGTCAATATAGGTGTTTATACTATATATAGTATATAGAAAACACATATTATAAACCACATGCTTTGGAGGCGAACTTTATGAATTATGTGTGCCAATTATTCAAATGAATAGCATTTATTCAAGCGGCACTAATATGCAGTGACTATATAAGTACTAATATACTCAAAAGTACATGAAAGTACACAACACACAAACGGTAAATATAATATAGATATGCCTAATATATTCGACATTTTGATATAATATATACTTAAATATACCTATTTCAGCCTATCGGGCTATTATTGGTGTCTGCGTATCAGACGAAAACTACAAACGCAGACTGATGTCACACAACAATGCTTGAAAGGTTTTCGAAAACATGTTATACGTAAACGACAACATAAAAACAACAACAATAACCTTGATCTGCAGCTGATGCAGAACTGATCGTTTTGTACATGTTCTGAAATACGAGTTAAAAACTCGTACCTACCTACCTATATAATACATTTGATTAAAATCTTCGAAATTAATAATTTGATTGTATATTATAATAATATGTCCTCGGCAGATAATACCTAATGTAAGTATTGTATTATAATATTATATGCTGGAACGTATTCAGTTTTATTTGAGGAGAGGCTGGTACAAAAACTAAATAAACACGTATATCACAAAGTGCAAGATATATATTACATTTTTCAAAAAAAAAGAGTCAAATTTTTAATTTAGTAGGTAACTGCATTGCTGTTCAGTTGGGAAAGAAGTGTAGGTACCTAATCGTCTGGCAGTGGTTGATGTAAGCAGGAGGTAGATGGGCCTGGTCCCTCCATGGCCTATTAGCTGAACCTTAAATGCTAAATATAGTTGTGACATAAAACTAAATGAGCTTAACTTATACTAATACTTTAAAGATTTTTAGTTTTATACTTAAAAGTACGTACCCTTATTATTGTACGTACATTGTAATTAGTGATATGAAATTCCTTTGTACTAAAAGAAAATATTTTTTCAAAACATTTATTTAATATTATTTTGAAACTTTTTGTCCCCCCTCCCCAAAAAAGAAGAGTATTGAAAACCCTACAATTCTATAAAAAAATGATTTAAAAATTGAAAATTGTTAAAAAATGTAAAATAAATACTTCTTATGCAAAGTGCATGAAAATTCTAGCCATAGTTATAAGTATAGGTAGTAGATATTACGATTGTAAAATATTTATGGTATAATATTATACTCTATTCTACGGTGAGATGGACTATTGTATTGGCGGATCCAATTGGTCCGGGGTCCCATATGGTATCATCTGAACACTTAACAAAGATTGCATTAATTGTTATATTGCAGTATTACTTATTGGTAGCCTATTGTAACAATAAATGATAAACAATAGTATTTTTTATCATATAATAACATACACCCCACTATATAACGTAGTAGACAATGGTCATGTAATATTTAGTCAAATATTACAAATTTATATTTAAAAAAAAACGAGTCAATAACTAGTTGTATAGCGTTTAAGTGATTTTTAATTTATTTAAAGTTGAATATTTATACAAATTAAGTTTATTTATTATATCCAACACATTATTTAGGTATCTATGGTTGTTTCAATAAATGTCAAAGAGCGAAGGTAACCACACTTTGCTTTACAGTAGGTCAGTAGGTGTCGAGTGTACCCCTTCATACAGCAAGTCATTGTGTTAGTAAACTTACCGTTGAATGGTGTGAAAAGTGGAGTTGTTCGTAGTACTTAACATCAAATCTAAATATTTTGAAAATAGTATTGCATATGGTAATATATCCGTTCATTCAAAGGCATCCAAATGATATTCACTCAACTAATATAGGAATATCGTTGATTGGTTACAAAACCTAGACACTAATATTTATACTTTATATAGTTCCATTTCCATATATCTCCGAGTTATAATAGTTTTCCATCATGTAGATCTTGCTAGTCCTTACTCTTTAATATTGTTATTATTTTTAACTTAATTTTCTGTAATGATTATCTAATTTTATTGTATTAGTTAATCTACACATACTTATTAATATTTATGTTATGTTATGTTGAATTTAATCCAATATAATCTATTTTGTTTATTATATTTATATACTATGATAATTAAAAATGTGTTAATGTTTATGTTGTGTTGCTTTCACTGTCATACGAAATATATTTATAGGAATATTCCACTAATTATATATAATAATATCCACGACACACAGTACCAGGCTAATGACCTTTGTAGTTGAAGCCTTAATCCAAAAACAAATATATCGACGAGTATTTTTGAATTACAACATCATAACTAATGATTATTTTTCGTTTAAATATATCTAATTTTGTCAAAATGTGTACTTTAAATGTGTTTTAAACAAAACGTGCTTATATATTTTTTAGATTTTTGGATTTCAGTAAGAATTATTAAAAAGGAATGTTGTATTTTCAAGTCTTAGCTGTACAAATGTTTTAATTTTTTTAGTTAATTGATTTTTAACGAAATTTTGACGAGTTCTTAAAACATATTTTGAACCTCAAACGCTCGTAAAAATATTTGTGAACATACACTCAACATTTTATGCATACGTTATTTAAGCATTATTAAAATCTTGTATAAAATGTTCAAGAATTTTGAACGGTTCAAAAAAATTAACAAAATCAACACTTTGAAAAAAATTTTAAATGCCTGTATAGTTAAAATAGTTTAAATTATAAGTTTAAAATTGTGAGAAATATATATCGAGTATATTCCCAAAAAATTATAATTTAAAAATAAACAGCGGACTGTTATAATAGAATAAAATAAATAGTACCCAATACTAGTTAACTATACTAATATACGTTAGCATTTTAATTGTATATAAATGCATTGATTATACATACAATGCCATACATACATGATTCATACATAATGTTGGTCGAGTACGCGTTTTATAAATACGTCACCGGGCAAGAGCATATCGCCGTAATAGATATTAAAGGTATATAATATAAACTTATCCTACTGCGCCTCGCAGTCTCTTGCTATTCGCCGACGGTCGTTCAAGTCCCCGCACTATTAGGGCGGATGACGATCACGATATTATATTTTATACGCGGGAAATCGCATCGCAGCCGTAAAAAATAAATAACATTTTCGTCATCTCGTCGTTATACGATATTATTAAAAAAGCGACATTAAGTTCATATGATACGAAACGATTTTCATACTTACGCGTTTCGCGCGGACGGTCGGCGTAGGCTTTTCATTTTTTTTTTCGCTGCGCACGGTATAATATAGTCTGTATATTAGGTACCTATAATAGTGCATGGTATTTTTTAAAGACGATTTTGCGAACAAATCGCTGGATCCGAAAAGAATAAAATAAACATTACAAGATGTTCTCGCACTCGCCGTTGCGATGGTCGTTGTCCGTGGCATTGTTGCTGACACTGGCGTTGACACTGGAGTTCGACGGTCAAGTTCGTCGGGACGACGGCGGTCTATTGCCGTCACAATTGTTATCGGCGTTCAACGGCTCCAGCGTGGCCTTTCCGGTGGACGGTGAGAGTGCACCACCGAAGGACGACGACATTTACCCCGAGTTGTGGGTCTCCGATTTGTTTTACCGAGCGTTGGGCAACTTCACCATTCAGCGGGTGGGCAGCACCGCTTGCCAGCGACAAGTAGACATGTACGTTAGAAACTTAAGGAATTACACCGATTGGGCCGTCAGAAGTGAGTTAACACTAAATACCTATGTAGTTATATATGTATACACCGACTTGTGTGACTGAGGAACCGTTATTTTGTTCGTCGTTTGGAACTCGTGATACCTACCACTAAAAAGGGTTACGCACATATATGTATATACGTCCCCAAAAATGTGATTTTACCCTAGCCGCAATATTGCACTAAGCGCATGGTACAAAAAAGAGCATGATAATTTTTAAAACAAATACACTTTTAAACGTTTTTCAATATTTCTTAGAAAATAAAAATACCTTCCCATAAATAAAAAACAACAAATGTCTCATGATTTTAGCTTATAAATTACTGAAGGGTAAAAATCTATTAATTCTTGGATAAAGAAAAGATTTTCTGTTTTCAGCTTTTAGCTGGTTTTCACATAATATTCTAAAACAAAAAAACATAAATAATAGTTTGTTATAAACTAATATTAAAAATGTTTTTGTCACCTTAAACTAAACTTAATACTTATAGTATGTGACTGGAGTTGGGGGGGGGGGGTATGAATTTAAAAAAAAATATTATTATTGAATTTGAAATAAATTGAGTTACTGTTATACCGATATTATATCGTAGGAACGTAGGATTTGGACAAAAGAATCTCACATTTCTGGGGTGTGGTTACCATCCCACCATCCCACCACACCACTGTTTGCACCAATGGTGATAGGTATTTAATACTTTCAATAAGCCGTTGAAATTTTAAATTATTTAATTTTAAACTAAATGTATCCTTAAGACTATAGGAGTGCCTAAAATAGAAAAAAATATACTTTACTTTGCTTCTCCATAGCTAAATTCTTATAATCTGTAGAAATCTCCAAAATGGCAAAGTTAAATTTCGTTTTTGAATTCTCCGTATCTATACGTATTCTACCTTACATATACGGACATGGCATTTTTATAAAAAATTAAAACGTCTGGTAATTATTGGTAGGTATTTATTATATCATTATCATAATTGTATGACGATGCATACCTTACTTTATATTATGTACATTATGGGTATGCTGAGATATATATGGAACTACTGTAATTATATTGTTATATAATTGCGATGCACATATTAATAATATTATGTATAAACTATAAAGACATATTAAATAGTTATTACTTATTAAGTTATTATACTTATGTTCTTAAGAAGATAATTTTAAAATTGAAATTTAAGACGATTATATCTAGCACATCTCGGGGGTTGATATTTTAATTACAAAGCAAGTTATAAGCATTTTAAAACTGTACATTTTTTGCAAATTTTAAAATTATCATAATATGCTTCAAAATTAAAATATCCATAAAATATACTCATTGCAATTTTCGTTCAAACTCCAGAAATAGTGTAGGTATACGATTCATGTGATGGATGCTTTTATTGCAGAAGCCGGATATAAGAAAGCTCAAATAAAATATGTTCATACAATTACATACCATTGTACAGAAATTAATATTACATTTTTTTTTAAACGGAAAGCAAGGAAAATGTTACATTCTTGTTGCACCTACTTATAAAAAGCTGCTATGCCATGGCCAATGACATAGGCAATTTTAATCTCATAATTTGCCTACACTTAATTACGTAATACTGTACCGGTTGGTAGTACATTAAATTGGATTTGGACCGGTTCAGATACCTTGTATGTGGAAAACTAATCGGGCTCAAAAATAGATGGCATAATGGTATCTGCTACGTACGTCACTGGAAATATTGATTGAAATGTATGGTCAGTAACATCAGATGTTTTTTTTAGTCAAATTCCGTGTAGGCTGCAGTAAAAATCTATCGTGTAAAGATTGCATATTGTGGTTGACCTTCCAATGACGAGCCGAATGAATAAGTTGCAGGCAACAGTGGCGGCTCCAAAGGCGGGTCATTGCTCTCCCTGAAAAATGTCTGTCCCGTCCACTTGTCCACCCTGAAATTATATAAAAATTGCAAATACTAAGATTTACATCAAAGCCTATAGTTACTATCAAATATTTTTCATTGTACGTGTATTTTAGTACGTGTACGAGGGAAAATAAAAATGTTTAATGGAAACACAATCAGTTATCTTCAATGATCTTTTTAGTATATTGTTATTGTTTTAATGTAGAATAGAGTATAATATTATTTTTATCATGTAATAAACGATAAAATATAGTATATTGAAATCATTGGCCAAGATGATTTATAATGGTTATGATGAGTGTTATCGTGTCATCATATTACATAGACGTCAGGCGGAAATATCACTGGTATAATATATTTTTAAATGCTATCTAAATAGGGTGAACAGTTTAGTATAATTTCAACAGAAAAAGATGAAGCAAAATAACTGAATATTAATGAAGTTCTTCATACATTTTCTAACATAAAAAATAGGAGGATAAAAGTAAAATATATATTTCAATGTCAGTTGTTCCTTTTATGTTAACATGTTCAAATTAATTATTTTCATAAATATTCAATTATGAATCAGTAAATATTTTAGTATTATAATACTATTGTATCAAGCTTATTATAAGTTGTATAAGTATACATCCAATCAATGAATTGGTAATTATTCCAAAAAAACACTTAATTATAGCCTAAAGGTATCATATAGGTATAATTGGCCTTCAGTAAAATTACGTGCCTTTAGTTGGCCCTATCAGGTGTAAAATCCTGCCCCTACCACTGGTTAGAAAATTCTGCGGACTATTTTAATGCTTAGATTATTATACTTATGGCGATCTATATAGTTTAACAAAATATCACAAATTTCCAAGTGTAAAAATATTTCTAGACGATAAAATTATGTTCAATAGGTACATAGTATAGTATAGGCGTATAGGCAGTGATGTAGTTGTAACTTGAAAATATTGTTTTGGGTACACACCTAAATTGAGAAATATATAACAAGTGGGGGGAGGACTTTGCCGCCCCCATATGCCATTTGACTTAGATTTATTTATTATTATAAATTTGCTTAAATACTTAAGTAGGTATATAATTTCATTATATTAAATTTATTTATTTATTATTTATAATTTCTAAAATATCCCACAGTGATTTTTTTTCTGTTGATCCTTCTAAAGGCTCCACTTTTCTTGATCATCGGCCGATCTGTGCTGTAACCGCCAGCTTCCAATATATTTTGTTGGGTTCCATATATTAAGAGGTGGCAAATTTATATTGATGAACATAAGGTTTGATATATTTTTTATCGTCAATTTAGATCCTAGATCTGAACATATTATGTTCATTGAGCTAAATCCCCGTTCACATTCTGCTGAAGAAGAAACTGGCAATGTATTGATAAGTACATTTCATTCCTGTATTTCTTCATTCATTGTGTTTGTATGAATATAATGTCTCATTCCTTGAACTAGTACAGATGTATTTAATAAAAATCTACGGCTCGATCGATTTATTTCATTTTCACCATGTCTTATATCAACATTTATTGGTCGTGTATTTTTGTTTAAAGTTTGAATATTGTGTAATATTAAAGTATCATTTTCATTATTGTCGAGTAAACGGGAATGTAGATTATTACATACACTTGTTATGAGTTGATTTGGGTTGATACAAATTAATTTTTGATTATTGGCCGAACTGATTGTTTTGAAGAGCGTAATAATTTGAGATTCCTTTGCTTTTGAAACATGTTCTTAATCCTTCGAAAATTTTAATTTTTCCTATTTCTTATAATCTTATAATTAATCATAGTTAATTATTCAGTATTCTGATACCCCAAATCTCTACTATATAGGTATCTTATGAGCTTTAACTACGTAGGTAGTACGCACTAGGCATATTGTGTTATTTGAAACCTTTATTTTTTTTTAAAGATTTTGACCGAATCGTTGAAAAAATATGTTTTTGTTGTCTTTGTTTCATATAGCATGTAGCCCTCTTATAGAGATACGTCATATAATAATATTATCAGTATTCTAGATCAGAGATTCCTAAGTTCCCAACCTATTTATATTTACGTCACCCTAGGGTATTTTTAAGAAATCTGGAGACGCCCCACAGTTGTATAGTATTAGCATATTGATACTCACATTTTATTGTTTTTTTTTATTGATGATAATAAAGTGATATTAAACCAGTATGAAAATTAAAATGGATTGCATATTATTACACTTACACAAAATATACACGATATAGCATAGATATATAGATCTTTCATAAAACAATATTTTTTAAAAACTGTAAACAAATGTATGATATTGTCTTATAGGTAGGTATTTCAAATAATTTCACGGCACCCTCAATCCTACAAGTTCATGCCGCATCCTCTTAGAGAACCCTTGTTATAGATGGCATTCTGAAATGTTGAGCTGGTGGTTTTCAGATATTAGCAAGCCAACTATGCTGTCCTGCAGTACCGTATTTTAAAATGCGATGATTGCATTGTATTTGTGAATTTGTACTATTTGGTAATTGTTTTCTATTTGTTTATCGTATTAATACCTACTGAAAATTGATTTTAAACAACTTAAGTAATAATTCGGTTATAATTTGTAAAATTGTGTAACTGTACGTTAATATAAATGTACATTCCGATGTATTGTTCATCCGAATAGGTTTCCGGGTTGTTACGAGGGGTATATCCGAATTGGTTACCTTGAAAAGGTCAACAATTTTAGCTCTTGTTATAAATGTAATTTTTATTTTTAATTAAATTCATTTTTATTTTTTTATAAGTATTATGTTTAATATACTTTTAAATAGTCATTGTAAAAAGTAAAAATAATATTAAATATTATAATAATAATATTCTATTGAAGTAAAAATCTGTAACAAACATTTTTATAAATTCTAATCTATTAATTTCATTATTTTTGTATTTGTCCATTTATGTTTTTATAAATATTTCCTTATTTTTAGACATAAGGTTCTGTAGTTTGTCTGTACTTCGCAATTTCACATATCATGTTTCAATTTGAACTTCTTTTAATACATATACATCAATGAATTGAAAAATGTTTGGATTTGCGCAATAGAAGCAACTGTT